CTGTCCCTTCCTGATCACTTGCAATACCCCAGTGCGGATATAGGCTGGAGGCCAAGAGGATGATGGTTTTGAGCAGTGATGCTGTTCTGTGGGTTCTGCAGTATGGAGGTGTTCTCCAGCTTGTTGGAAAGATCTAGTTTGTCTAAACAGCATTATTGCTTTTTTTTTCCTCTGTTCTCTTCCCCTTTTTGGGTCAGAGCCTGCTGCTGAGTGTGGCTTGTCTCCAACATCCATTCATTAATTCACTGCAGCAGGTGCCTGTGGATTCCTGTTGTTTGATCATGGTGGTCACTAGACAGGTCACTTAAACAGGCTTCGAACATCTAGACTGCTGGATCAGCTTCTTTCTGGGGTAAATTTAAGTCAGTGACGATTTTTCAATCCACGTTGGCAGATAACCCTCTGTGCCACACACAACACAGTTTTTGCATTTAACCTGTTGGGATTGTCAGTTTATGATAAAAACACATGGGACATTGTTGGTGTTTTAGCACCACAGACCCTAACCACAGTCTGGGGAGGTGGAGGTGAGATACAGTTTCCATCGAAGAAGAACCAAGCGATTTAATCTCACTTTCACATTAGTGAGAACAGTTAAATCACTTCATGGGCTAAATACTTATTCTAAAGGCAGGTGTGCGTGTGAGCGTTTGCACGAAGGCGAAGGCCGCCTGTGAAGCTCCCCTGTCCCTGCCCTCCCGGCTGGGGAAGAGCAGACTGCACCCTCTGCTCACCGGCGGGCGAAGGCGACGCTTCCGGGCAGCGCGAGGGCTGCTGGGGCGGGAGCTGCTTCAAGCATCAGGGGGAAAAAAACATTTGAGTGTCTGGGTAGATCTGTATAAATAACTGCTTTTGCCCTGAGAATTCACAGCTGAACTGGCAATAAGACATGCTCCAGAATGGGAGGAGTTGTTCCGATATGGTTGTCGTCATGGCTTGTGTCGCTCTTGCTGTTGATGGCATATCCATTTCACACGCTCTCCCTCAATCAGGAGCCCCAGACCTGGAGCAGCAAGAGGTAGCTGAAAACAAAGGCCCGCCATGTGCACTAGGTAATGATGATGCCTCTTGTTCTTTACGGTTACAAATGCTTGCGTTTGCCTGCGATCTTCATTCATGTTGGATTCTTGTCCAATTCCTTGTAAACCCCCAAGTTAGTAGCCTTGGTGTCTTCTGTAGAAGTAAGCAGCTTTGCAAGCCGGCAGTGTTTTTGTGCAGGACAGCTTTGGTTAAATGAGACCTGCCTGCTCCACAAGACAGTAGAGTGACACGCTGGTAGGGGCTGGCACCACTGGGCACTGATGTAGCCCCTCCAAACTCCTGCTGGGG